GAGTAAAACCATATTTCTTCTCCAAGAATGCCTGTGGGTTACTTGTAACAAACTGCAACTCTACGCAGTAGTTTAAAGAGCTAAAAATGTAAGTCTTAAAAAATAGCTTTTGATGGTTTATGGAACAGCTTGGAACAGATGTTGAAGCATGCAGTGGTATGCAGTGTTTGAGTAATGCTTCTGTGGAAGATCTTAATTCAAGAATTTATTAAAGCAAAAGGGAAATCATGTGAATGTAACCCTAATTTATCTTTTGGATCCTGAACTAGTCTGTTACTTTTATGTCCATCAGTATTTTTAGGCATTTATTTATCTACTTTTTAAGGGGTTTCAACTCTACCTCTGCTTGCACAGCTGGAAATAATTGTGGGAATCATTTGAAGGATGAAAATACCATATATATGTATAATAATATAAATATATGGTGTCTCGCAGGAATTTGATTTTTATATTCAGATTCCATGTGTAGAGGGTGATTTTTGGGATGAGGAATACCAGATTGAAAATAAATGCAATTCCCTGAATACCACAGAAACACGAGGGGGTTTTTGGCATGAACTTCCCTCCCTTAAGGAAGCCATGGGAGCCCTGTTGTAGCAAAAGCTCTGCTAGCTGCTGAATCCTTAACCTGGTGTTAAGATCTACTTTGAATCTGTTAAAAACACTAGTAGCTTTGTGTAGCCCTCTTTGCACACGTTTCCAGTGTTACTACCATTAAACGACTTCTGCTGAAAAAAAAACCCTCCTCTATAAATAGAATAAAAAAATAAATAACATTGGAAGTAAATGTGTCTGTTGGAATTGTTCCCCCAAATGTAGTTTTTATGTTTCTGGCACACCCCTGTTCGGTTGTGTCTGTTCAGCATGGTCCACTTGAAGGGTCTTTCCTTTTCTCCCTGAATTTACTTGTGCTCCAAGGAAAGTAAATGAGAGAACTGCAAGTATTTGCAAATTATCATTTGGTCTTGGCTCTCCAAGGCTGAGATACCAGTATGGTACTCCTTGATTGCTTTAAGAGCATCTTTCTATCTGAAAGCATTAAACTTGTGTCTGGGAGGATACTTTTTAATTATTATTTATTTTAATTGTTATTTATTTTTTACTTATTTTTGTACAGAAGCATTTTCTTTGACTAGTGGGGTACTGAAATTGCTTTGCTGTTCTGTTTGAGGAGATAAAATTCCTCTGTTGTGCAGGATCCCCAGTTTATTCTTTTGGATGAAAATCTGCATGTACATAAGAAGTCTGTGAAAGTAACTGAGGCAGGACAAGATAGGGGAGATAAATGCTTCTGTGCTGCCTGTGCAGCAAATGCACAGGGGACACACCTGCCCAATTAGTAGGTGTATTAAACTTGAGCCAAGCTCAGCTAAAACATCCCCCAAATCTGAATCTCTTTCCTGTTTTGGAGCAAGGTAACAGGGTAACACAAAAATGAATTGTGCATTCTCAGTTGCTCATGTAACAGCAGATGGTTGAAAGGAGCCTCTTAGATGCTCTTAAGG